CCCAGAACATTAACTGCTGGTGCAGTGTTGATGGTACACATTGAGAAGCATGAATCCAGTCTCTTCCCAGCAAGAGAGAATATGTAGTATCTGCGTCCACAATAAAGAAAACAGTAGAAATCTTCTTTGGTCCGACTTCAATTGTGGCAACCATCATGCCTTCAGGCTTGGTCGGCTGCCCTGTAAAACTTGTCATTTCGAATTCCACAGGAGACAGATCATGAATTCCTTTCCCTAGCTTCTTGAGAGTCTTCAATGGCATAACATTAAAGACTGCCCCATTATCCACAAAAACCTTTGTGATTGGTTTCCCACAAATGTGAGCATTAACATATAGAGGTTTCAAATGGGAGATCGCACCCTCTGGAATAGGAGGAAACACAATCGAAGGTGCCTCCGGCTGAGACTCAGAATCTGAAGTCTTTGCCCACTCTGTTTCCTCTAATTCATCATCTGCCAAGAATGCCCATAAAGGTTCGTCCATAGTATCATCTACCAGACTCGCCCACATCGGTTCATCTCTCATCTGATTAATCTCTGTCATTCGACAAGGAATTCGTGGTCCCAGGCGAGATTTAACAGATCTTGAACTTTCCTCTGTAGTTACAACTTCTTCCTTCGTCTTATTCCGAGATTGAACCGTCAAAGATTCTATACGGAATTCTTCAAGAGATGGATTGATGTTGATCCGTTCACAATGTTGGCATCTAAAACCTTTAATTATTTCATCTGCCATCCCTTTACCTTTCCCCAGTCCCGACGAACTTCCTTTGGCATAGTCGGCTGCGCCTAATCCGTCGTTGGGTTGCTTTCCTGAACAGACCCGACTGGACCGACTTGTTGGAGATTGCATGGCTGCTCCCTGCTCGTTGGTCGTTTGTTTTGGAAAGGCTCTAATGGACTGTTCTCCTGCCAAATGGTCGGCTGCTTTTTGTTCGTCAGTTCGTTGTTTTGCTGAAGGAACTCGTTTCCCATACTTTGCAGCATACCTGCGTTTGGCATTGCGAATCTGTGTACGATTCATACCTGGGAACCGAGGATATATATCAACTGGTAAAGGCTTTTTATTTCGAGCCCAATTGTTCCCGACTGATCCTGTTTTTCTGGTCGGGTGGTCACGCACTAAAACCTTTTCTTTCACTTCCACATTAAAAGAACCGTCTGGACGGTCCCATTTTTCAGCGACTGGCCTTTCAAGAACTTTGAGTCGTTCTTCCGGTCGGCCACTGTTTGGCCGACTTCCTTTTCTTGTTTCGGGGCTTGCCTGAGTTTGTTCCCCTTTTTGTCCATCATTGGCCGAACTTTTCCCTATTTCCGAACTTGGTTGGATGTCAACCATTGCAGTTGTTACTTTCGGAAACGGTTGCTGGTCTACACCTAGAGTGATGTATTTGAGCCGACCTGTCTTGATGGCCTTTTGAATTTCCTTCCTGAAATGAGTACACTGACTTGTATTGTGTGTGAAAGAATTATGCCACTTACAATATGGTCTCCCTTTGATTTCTTCTTTAGTGGCCAATCTTTGCCCCTTTGGAATACGGATCTGCCCATCAGTCAGTAGGATATCAAAGATTTCATCAGCTTTCGAACTATCAAACGTCGGTTGCTCCTTTCCTTCAGATCCTGGTACTGGCTTCAATTTAGGGCATACATAAGGTTTTCCAGAAAGGATTTCGGCTGCCATCTCTTCTGACTGATTAAAATCAAAGTCACATGTTTCTGTTCCCATACTCGCCATATGTTGGCCTCTATTACGCCTGTTATGCTGATCTTCCTCTCTGAACAAAGATTCTAGACGTCCTGCCTTGGATGCAAGACTTGCCAAATCCTCAACATCGAGGGCAGTGAGTGCCTTTCTTAAGTGAGTATGCATATTCCGGACCACTAAATTGGTCATCTCTTTCTCACTGATTACCGTAGGACATCGTCCCTTCATCAATCGCACCCTTTCTATAAACTGCGAAGCAGATTCTTCTGGATACTGTCTCAATTCTAGTAAATCAGTTAAAGAAACAACTGGTAAAGGATTGAAGAATCTAGCGTGAAATGCCATCTCCAGTCCTTCCCATGTCTGAATTTGTCCAGGAGGCAGACTTACAAACCACGAAAATGCCGTTCTAGTAAGAGATAAACCAAACAGCTGTAACTTATAAAAAGGGTTATTGCCAACTTCTCCTAATTGTGCTGTGAATCGACCAACATGTTCTATAGTGGAAGATCCGTCCTCCCCTGAGAATGCATGAAAGTCGGGTGGTCGAAAATTCCTTGGGAGAGGGTGTTCATTAATGATCCTTTCTGGGAAAGGTCTCTGATATGCAGGGCGGTTAGCCATCTGAGGAGTTAATCCATACTGATCCCTTAATATATGTGCAATCTCATCAGGATCTACATGAAAGCGTTGATGATCAGGAACATGGAACGGATCCTGCACAGGAATATGAATAGGATCATGTATATATCCTTCATGCCTGTCCTCCCTTGTATTGTTCGGCTGCGAATTGGTAACCCTTGGTCCCAATGGAACATTGTTGGGAAAAGTCAAAGGAGATTTTCCCCTATCCATTCGGTTGGGATTAGTGGCACTTGGGAATGTACTATCCACGAATGATGGCCCTGCGAAATTTGCCTGTGGTCTGGACGGGGACACTCCTGGTGGCGTTTGAGTGGGTTGAAGACTAACCCTTGACAGTGCTTGATCTATCATGTTCTGCATCAGACTCTGTTGCTCACGCAACATGTTCGTTTGTTGCTCACGCAACATATTCTGCATAACCAAAGTATGCTGGTTGTTCATTTGTTGAATATAAGACCACCAATCAGTTGGTGGTTGTGGGATTTCCCCGGCATTTGGCACAATAGGTGGTGGAACGGATTCTCCCACCGGTGCCGAAGATGATTGTGGTTGTGAACCTGCCATAACCCTTCCGATAATTCGGCCGGATCTAAGACGTATGAAATTATCGCCGGAATTGGAATGAGCAATTTTGTCTTGCTCCCACTGTGGTCGCCAATTTGTTGATGTAATTTTTCAACAAAAATAAAGTAAAATTCAAAGATATAGAAAATATCCTTAAACTTGATTAATTAGTGCCTGAGATTAGGAATCTCTAAACACTGTATGGTACAGAAAATAAACTGGAAAATAAAAGACTGAAATTTAAAGTGGTGATCCCCAAATCTGACTTTGCTTTGTTGAAGTTGATTGAAGATGCCTTGCCAAATGATGATTCAAACCTTTAAATATTCTCTGGGAAACCGTACTGAAAACCGTCACCCGAACGGTTACAACGTCTCCTTCCCAACCGTCTTCCAACCCTTCTCATGCTGACACGTGTCCTCAGCAGACCAAAATTATCCCTATATTTCACTCTTTGAGCCGACCACAGACCTTCCGCTCTTTTGGCCCGACTTCGTCCTTCGCCCGACCTGCTTCTTCGCCCGACCTCACTTGGGCCGACCTCCGCATCAGCCGCCCTCCGTCTTTGATCAAAGACCTCCGCGTCTGTCCGTACCTCTTCCTTGCCCGACCTTCCTCTTGACAGATCTTCGCGTCTGCCCGACTTCGCCTTCTATCCGACCTACGGTTTACCCGACCTGCGGACTTCCCATCCTGATGACTTTCCGTCTTGAGGACCTCCCGACCTGAAGACCTTCCGCCCTGAGGTCTTTCCGTCCTGAGGACTTACCGACTTGAGGTCCTTCCGTCCTGAGGACTTTCCGTCTTGAGGACCTCCCGACCTGAAGACCTTCCGACCTGAGGTCTTTCCGTCTTGAGGACCTACCGACTTGAAGACCTTCCGACCTGAAGTTTTTCCGTCCTGAGGACCTTCCGTCTTGAGGACCTCCCGACCTGAAGACCTTCCGACCTGAGGTCTTTCCGTCCTGAGGACTTACCGACTTGAGGTCCTTCCGTCCTGAGGACTTTCCGTCTTGAGGACCTCCCGACCTGAAGACCTTCCGACCTGAGGTCTTTCCGTCTTGAGGACCTACCAACCTGAAGACCTTCCGACCTGAGGACTTTCCGTCTTATATTTTCCTTAGAAATAAATCTATTTTCCTTGATTTCCTCACGATGTCCTTCAGCCAGTTCAATCAACTCTATTGCCAGACCCATTCTTCTTTTACCTTGGGCTTTTAACCTAATTCTAAATTTCGTACGTAACACAAAGTAATTTTTTTACTATTTTTATCCATCTCACTCAAATATACCCATTTCTTACCATTACACGTAACAATTACTTTATACAAGAAGTCAAAACACAAAAATATCAAAATTTGTTATACATTTCTACTGATCCATAAAATATTTTTATTTCTTAATCTACTACAAAATTCCAAAAATGTCCTTTAGAAAAAGACGAAGGGAATACATCGGATAAAATAAAATTGTCATTCAAATCTATATTCACTTTTCTTTTTGGATTTTTATAAAAAAATATATTCTCATTTCCTTTTTAAGTAAAAATCCATTATACTTTTGTACCTTTTTTTTTTACTATAAAAAAAATAACAATTATTATTCATTTTTATTAAAACTCGTGTCCGATCAAATAATTACATATTTACATGACGGCATGACGGAGGGAGTATTATTTAAAATTCAATTTCTTCCTTTGCGCAATATGTACAAAATGCTACACTAAGTACAAAAGATATACCACGCAATTTCTTTTCTCCATTCTCTGAAAAAAAAAAAAAAAAAAAAAAAAAAAAAAAAAATCTCTAAAAGTTCCTGCTGCTGTTTTCCTAGTTCGGTTGTGATGGGCTTTTTAAATCCCAATTCGAATTATTCAATTCGTTCTATACTTAGTAAGCAATTAATGGCAGATCGAATTTGTTTCAAAAAAATTTGCATGCAACACGAATTTAGAATTTGATTTTAATTCATAAATCGAATTTGTTATTTGATTGGATCTATTTTTCGGGTTTGTCCCATCTCGTTTTACACGAATATATTGCTAACATTTATCACATCACGGCCTAAACAGCAGCAATCATCATAACAACAAAGTGTTGGCTGTCTTTATTTCTACTAAAGTTAGCTGTTCATCATTGGCAATCACATTGGGATGCTTTATTATGGAATGGAATGCCCATGAGTTAAGACAATATATGTAAAATAGTGTCCGTCTGCGGGCATCTTTATTCTGTGTTTCAAAGAACAGGTCAGCAATCAGTGCATATATATATATATATACCTGTGAAGTCAATGGGGTGGTCATCTTCATGCTCCCTCCCTAGTCCCTAGTATGAATTTTGTGGGACACTGACTGGCAAAGACTAAGTTCCGATCTGACCCGACCCGACTCAACTGGAGCCTATCACCGCCTCAAAAGATACACAATGATAAACTGTACAGGTCAATTTACAGAGAGAGAGAATGCAGCTACGCTACCTAAACTTGAGACTGAGTTAAGAAAATGCTACCATTTCCTTCCTACGATTGGTTCTTTACAATTTTAACACTGCTGTAGAAGCGCTTGAGGTCTCTCATGGCCTTCTCCTCGATCTGGATAGAACGTAGTGATGACGGGGTCTCGATGTCTGGCTTGAACCAGCGATTCACGCTACTGGTTTCTGATGGGGATGGAGATGATCCCTGACCAGTCATCACAGCAAATCCAGTTGTTCTGTTCGTTGGGCTATGAGAGATGCCCTGATGCTTCCCCTGGAACAATCAAATTAAACAAAGAACGGCACATCGATCACTTTGTGATAAGAAAACAGAAATTGCAAATACAAATCATCAGAAAGACTGAAAGAAAAAGTTGTGATCTAGGATTCAGTCTAGAGTATTCATCAATACTGTGTAGATACAAAGACTAGACGGGACTGCAACTCAAGATTTTGTGAAGGGACTTCCCAAAAATCTAACACTAACTACAAGCAGTTACTGCAGAGCCATGAGGAAGGTCTAGTTAGTCAGCTTCCTCATATGTCTCGACACTTTTTGCATATGAATAAAGAAGGGATTGTCAAGAAAAATGGATATCAAATTTCAATTGAACCTGAACAAGCTCTAGCCTATTTAACCACGTATACGGACCACATTGTGCGAGCATCTACATGAAAATATAGCGAGGAGCAACAACTACTCAAAACAATCAAGGAAGCGGAGGTGATGTCATAAGATGTCCATCCAAAACCTTAAATATTCATAGAAGAACAAGAAAAACTAAGATGCAAAATTAACATAACCATAGGCTGATAATTATGTAGATTGATTCTTAAGACAGAAAAATGAAATGCACCTGTTGCAATTGGATGTCCCTAAGAGATGGACGGGTAAGGGAAGGGGGAGTGCCTGAGGCAGCCCAAGGAGGTGTGCTTTTATCTCCATCTGATGCCTGGGTCTTCCGACTAGTAAGTACAGGTATTGGGGAGGAATCCAAAAATGAACTCAATGGGATTTTCCCACAAGAAGATCCTTCAGAAAAACCTTCCATTTCTTTCTTTCTTGTAAGCTTATTCTCCTTTGTTTTGCTCTGCTCATCCTGAATGTGGCGAAGAGAAGTCAACTCTCGAGACATTGCAACTCCACCCCAGGCAGGTCCCTCATTTTTGGGCATTACAGGAGGTGGGGCAGCAATTTTGGGGATATCATCAAGTGCACCACTCAGAAACATAGAGAGTCCGCCTTTTCTATTCTTCTTCTTTGATAATGCTGGAAAAGAATTCTTACGTTCAGCTACATCTCCAGTTATTTTATTATTATGTACTGGAGACAGCTTGGCATCTTGTATTGCCACCGCACCTTCATGATCTACAACTTTCTCCTAGAGATTTCAAAATTATATCTATCAGGATGAAGGCTTGAAAAAATTGGTAACACCTCATAAAACCTTCACAGAGAAAGGCAGTTAATCTCAACAAGTAAATGATATACCAGGTGGCTACTTATTCAAATAAGTTATATAACCAGTAAATCCAGCACTTATGAAATACCAGTAAAAGAAATTATAGAAGTTGCCCATCACATATTAGATACAAATTTTTTTCATGTACATAAGTTATGTTTTACTTTTATCCAAGTTAAATGATGAATAGTTCATCCATACCTTATTGAGGTCTTTTGAAAATTCAGTATTGATGAAGCCCTGCACCTTATTGATATGATCAGGGACTTTGGCATCTGAGAAGCACTTTGAGACACTTGATTCAGCATCAATTACAACACCATGCGACTCCTCTTCCTCCTCCGCAGACTTCTGTTTGTTTTTTTTTCTTTGCTTTCTCGAACCTGCTTTCTTTCTACCTTTTTCATCCACAGATGAAGTTGCTTTGGTTGGCACACTTTCAACTGGTACACCAAGCTCAGCAAGAGATCTTTCCAGTGCAGGCCTTGTCTGCAATTTAGCAATCTGCTGATCATCAAGCACATGACCTTTTGAATGTTTTTCCTCGAGCAACTCAATCTGTTGCAGCTTTTTCCTGAAAGCCCTTATTTGCTTGTTAACGCCCTCCATTGCCATATCATTGGATTGCAAAAAGCCATCCAATCTTTGAGCTCCCACTTTCTGGAAGGTTGGCTGCTTTGTATCAACATCACGAATCCTATATAATTCACTCTCATCATCCTCTCCTTCACTATTGATAATAGGTGGAAAGGTAGCAGTGGGAGTAGGTAGTCTACGCCAACTCCATGATTCAGACGATTTCAGATCCAGTAATTTCTCAAGATTTGCCAGCAAATCCAGTGAAGTGCCAACAAAAGTATGTGCTGCCACAGTAAGAATATAATCCAGGTTTCGAATTGCAATCTCCTGCAGCAAGTATTGATATGTTCTAAGCATTAAATCTTGGAACAGCATTAACTTGTGAAAGAATAGTTTAAACAACATAAGTAAAAACGAGCACAAACATAAGTCGCAAGAAATATACATGTAAGTCCAATCCACACATACTTTCCTTTTACAAGCATGCAAAGAATCACATAGCATTTTTTATTATTTGAGCCTAGGAATACACTTCATATTTATCTTTATACATATTGGGAGATTCATGGATTACAGAAAAGCTAAAACAACAAACAGCTGCTAGCAGACATCAGCTAAACAAACAAGCTCTCAAGTAGAGGACACAGTTCCACATAATACAATAATTGAACATATATCACTGATATAACAACAATCTAAGTTTCACAAGTTAGAAATCAGATTATTAAAGGCAGGGTTGGGAGTAGCTACAAACAAATAATTGAAATATAGCAATGGGATAAAACAAGAGGGATATAAGGTACTAGTATCTCCTTGAGATAGAGAATATATCCAGTCTCCAAAAATACTGCTACTATTGAAACCCTCTGGCAAACTAAGTTTCAAGATCACTGTTTGAGGTGCCAAAGTTCCTATTAGGTTTCTCTGCTGTATTAGTGTTTTCCATTAACTCTGCTTATGAAAGGTAAGACTGGAGTACAAGGCATTAGAAATAAGCTAGCTGATTACAAAACACATTCAACAAAGGAAACCTCGAGGAAAGTATGAGCCAACAAAATAACCAGGCACTATTATGCACTATAAGTGGAAGTACTAACTGCTGCTCTTTACCAACAGATATGAACAGATGAAAAAGGAATACTGAGGAAAAGCAAGAGAGGGCATCGATACATACTTCACAATGTGTCTTGAGATCATCTGCTCCTAACGAGTCAGCAATTTCCAGCAGTTGTAAGACATTTCTTGGCTCCACCAAATGCTCTGCAGCCATTTTCTCACAAAGGCTTTTTAAGCTGGGAACACTTCTTTGGTCAGGGGAGTTTACAGAAACTTGCAATGCAGAGTTTCCATAATCATCCTTCTGTGTATTAGATAACTCATTCTCAGGCTCCATATCATCAAACATGAAGCTTTCATGCAATTCATCTAATTCATCCTGGATCATCTTATTCTGACAGCCGCCACCGATATTAGGAAGATAACCTGGATGATACAGTGAGCTAACAATCAGTAGATGTGTCTCTCCAACTGCCATTGAAGTAGCCTTCTTCACCCCTTGCAACCTAGTCAGAGAAGGTGGATTGCTCCTGCCCTTCTTACTGTCCCACATATATACATCACCGGCTGCAGTAACTGCACCAGTCCAATACTTCCCAGCAGATATGCTAACTATATTTCTACCACAAAGTGTATACAACTGCAAGAGAATAAGACATGCGACTTGTACATTAGAAATACACCAGATATAAAATGGGAAACTCCATGAAGTAAAGCAAAAACCTGATGACACTGAAGATCTGGCTCTGATGATACCCAATAAAATAATGCACCATCATCTGAAAGAGCTAGACTATGTGTCATCCCAGCAGCTACTGCCACCACATTAAGGCGTTCCTTTCGATGAAACTTCATCACGGTATTTCCAGTTTTCCTAATATTTCTAGAAATAACTACCCTCTTAGGAGTAACAAGTCTGTGACCCCAAGTGAACACCTGAAAACCAAAGAGATAGATATCATATCATTATAACCACAATTTCTAAATTTCCATACAACATTATAAGGAAAATAATGAATGTCTTTTCACACCTCTCCATCAGACCCTAAAACAACAGTGTGATACTTGGCAGCAGAAACTGCTGTAAAAGATTTTCCCTTGAGGTATTCCACCACCCGAGGAGTATAGTGTGAGGCTGAGTTAGAGGTTCCATAACCAAGTTGGCCCTCTCTATTGCAGCCCCAAGTATAGATTTCACCAGCCTCTGAAACTACAGCAGTGTGTTTATTTGCAGCAGCAACAGCAACAATTCTTGCCTTCAAGGAAGTAACTCTACGGGGAGTGGATTGAGTATCAACAGAAGTATAGCCAAGTTGCCCCTCTGCAGATTGTAGGAAGAACTAATTCAACTAAACAAGTTATGTGGACAATACCAGAAAATTGTTATTCTACCACAATCTATATCTTATAATGCCATAAGTAAAATTAAGTGAAAAAACCAACTAATTGATCACATTTTGCGCAATCCATGTCTCTCAACTTAAGGCCTCGTTTAATTTATAATAGCAGAGGATAGTAGAAAGACAAATTTCACACTCCATAGGGCTTACCTCTATTTGAACCCCATGTAAATACTTCACCACTCTCTGTCGTGACAACAGTGTGATGTTTAGCAGCAGCAACTGCCTTAACCTGACGCATACCTAAGCCTGAAATTACTTGGCGGGGAGTAATGACGGCAGCTTGACCACTGTAAAGACAAAAATATACACCAGCAAGCTTTCAGAGAAACAAGGTGATGGGAAGATAAGCATTTCAAGTCATCAGTTGAATCACTAATCTTGATCTTGACCACAGAATCAAGCTGACAAGGGGAATATAGATCTCATTAAGTACATAAATCCTCCACCAAGCAAAGACATCAATAGATATGGCTGTTCCCATGCTCTCCAACTGTAATGCTCATAATGACGACAATTTGTATAGATAGATAAAAGGAAAAGAACAAAACAAACAATTGAATATCAGAGTCTTCCCATGTTATTTGTGTAAAATCCAAGCCTACTTTTGGTTACAGACCAAGGGACTTTAAAGTTTACATTAGACTTGTGAAAACTAAATTGACTTGCACTCACCTGTGTATATCAAAGTCTGGATGCCCAAGTCGGCCACCCCTTCCAAACCCCCAAGTATAGACTTCCCCACTTGCACCAACTGCCACACTATGGAACTTGGCTGCAGAGACCAGTTTGATGAACGAACCATGAAGTGAATCAACTTTGCATGGTAATTTCTGTATGTGTGCATTTCCAGTTCCAAGTTGATAGTTAACACCACTACCCCAGCTAAAGACCTCTGTAGCTACTGATTAAAAGAATAAAAGATTGTTACATATCAACCCAAATGATGCCACAACAGACCAGGAACTTTACATTTCAGAGACTAGCACCATACTTGAATTATTCTCCTTCCCAATAGCTTGCAGTACTGGCCCTGAGAGGAGGTCAACTGGAGTCCGAGCTTTTGAATCCTCCAATGTTAATGATGCACCAAACTGGAGCAGGACACAGGCAACTGCCAGATGTCCAAAATGCAGTGCTCTATGAAGGCTACTCCATCCAGATTCCCCATCCTGAGAAAAGTCTACTATATTTAAAATATGCAAAGAAACCAATACTACATTAAAGAACCTGCAGAAGCAAACAAGTAATTACTGAATCTTAAAATCTTATATTGCCTCCCTTGCCACTACTATAGACACCTTTCACATGGAGAAGCCTTCTTTCCAAATGCATCTCATCTCATTGGAAAATGATCCAGATAAGTATGATAATACCCTTTCTTTATGAAAAGCATATAGTTCTGGTAGACGATGGAACTTTCAGTAATATTAAAGCAACATTTAATTCTTTTAAGGAAATTTTATTCTCCATAAAATGGACTTAGTTGTTGGCTCAGTGGAGAAATGATCAGTTGTAATTTCATTGAGTAGTCTCTGACCTACCTCTTTGAAATATGTGGTTCAAGTAGTTCACCTGATAAAAAAATCTGATATCTATAAGAATACACAAGTACAAAAACACAAAAACCATCATGTGATCACCAAGAACATGAAACAACTTTGAATAAAAAATACATATTAATAACTCAGCATTCATTGCAGTAATGACCTGTGTATGGACATATTAGAATACCAATAAGATCATAAGGCAAACTGTACCCTTGCATTGGGGTCTGCACCAGCTTCAAGAAGCCTTCTAACAATAGGCACATGATTCCTCCAAGTTGCAACATGCAAAGGAGCAGCACCAAATGGGTTTCTAGCATTAATATTTACCCCATTTCTTTTAAGCAAAGACAATGAACCATCAACATCAGAGACAGATCCCTCTCGCACAACCGACCAAAGATCCTTGCATTGTGTGTACTTACGTGGCGTTTGTATAGTCTGCTGCTGAAATGGAGGCACCACTAAATCCTCCATTGTGCTATATTAGCATATATTTCGATCTGCTACTTATCTCACACACCCCTTACTACACACACATGGTTCAAACTAATGTTAATAGCGGTCCTTGGGCCTTGCTAAGACAACTAATTCAGAACAGGATTCTCACACCAACAATAGTGTACAATAGCAGGATATCAAACACCGTCACTCTTCGTTTGCACCACAGACATGCATCATCCAAACTATAGTTTCTTCATAATAACACCATCCTCGCTAAATGTCTGGACAAACTAGAGACTGCAAAAGAAAAACTTTCTATTACCAACAGTTGTTTTTGTCTCAAGACACTGAATCTCAATCAGAGGAGAGTATAACACAACACTATTGAAATGCCAATGGAGAAATGTGACAGACAAGAAACATTGTCATAGATTTTCAGATAGAAAATCTCTCATAGATTAAACAACAACGAAGATTATTGGATCTATCAGAACCGCAATAAATATGTATACTTATATACAGCGGGCAGATGCGTGGATCGCCAAATTGCATCATCATTTTCTTAATCAAATCGATCCTCGAGATCTATATATTTACCTATCCACATCATCTTCAAACAGAAAACCCTAACGCGATTCACGTGAAATTAGAAAAAGAATTCTTGCAAAACCACAAATTCCGAAAACGCAATTAATCACGGAAAATAATTTAACCTCACAATCCACGCCTTCGTCAGTGCCAAAATGAAAATGATCTTAATTTTTTAGCACCCAAGTTAGCTAAAGTCCAATTCAATCAAGACATTTAAACAACGGAAACAGGCGGTCTAACCCACCCAACGCCAAAACACCCACCACAAATCGCACCACCATGGAAAAATCGATGTAACATTAAATCGTTGTGACCCAAGCAGAAAAAAACAAAACAAAGCAAAGCGAAAAAATATAAATAAATAAAAGGAGAGAGAAGAAAACCCCCAAATAATCAAATGCGCAAAAGTCACCTCGTATTCTCGTCAGAACACGATCATCGCTGAGAGGAATCAATGCACTAAGTCGCGGATTACAAGAAAGCTACAAAGCTCAGCATCATCGACTCTCTCCCCACATCACATACATACATTAGATGTACATGTAATATATGTAGAGCATGTGCGATTGGATTTGCAGCACATAGAGAAACCGGTCCGGTTCGGCAGGGAGAATATACTCCTAAAATCCAAGGTACAAACGAGAAGACGGGTTGAAGGGTAGTTTGGTAATATAAGTATTGTGATCTGACGAAAATACCCTTGGATATTACGCGCGGTTGGAAGCGGCCACGAATTACGATTCTTCGCTGGATGTCTGCCTTCCTCTTCTGGTTTAACTAGATGCTGACACGTGTACTACACGGCTCGATTTCTAATGCCTCTGGTTTTTCATAGGCGTTTTGTGGAATATGCCCAAATATTCTCTTCCCCACACTAAATAATGTTCCATCAGTCTCATATACAATCGTATACCACGTCTGCTCCACGGTAAATACTGTATTTTAGAAGGAATGTAATTAGTAGATAATTAAAAATATATTAGTGAAAATAATTATTCTATAATATAAATAATTATAAATTAAGATTAAAATAATTAATTAATTTAATTAAAATTAAAAAATTTAAAATGAAATTAAAGTGTGTAATCATTTTTTAAAAAAAAGAAAGTGACATGATATGTGGGACGGACAGAAACAGCAACGTGGACATGGTATGTGAGACGGAGGGAGTAAATTATTTTGATATGATTATATGCTAATATTGTGCCGATTTATATTTTGGTTTATTGTTTCTTTCGATATTTTGTTAAAACATCATATTTAATTATTACTTTTTATTTAAAATTTTATAATAATTAATTTTATATAAAGGTAGGTTATTAATTTTTATAAATATATTTAATAATATTGTTTATTTTTATAATTAAACTTTTATTAATATCCCAGTAATTTTAATTTTAATATTTTATATTGTAATTATATCTTATATTTTTTTCGTCTTATTTTTTTGCGATTCTAACATTTTCTTTTAATTTTATACATAAAATAATTGTATATATAATATTTTAAAATTAATTTTATATTTATAATTTAAATAAATATTAATAATATTTTAGATAGAATAGATGAAAATAGTAAATTTAGTATTGGAATGAAAAGCATATTAATATATTATATTATATTATATTATATCATATAGTCTATATATACAAGGACGGTGTGAGTTTTGATAATTTATATTTTTTTTCTCAAATTTTTGTTTAATAAAAATGTTTTTTTCTTTTAATTATGGATAGATTTTGCTAATTATAGTTTTATACATTTGGATAAAATCAAATAAAATTAGTTTAATCTACATCATAAAAGTTATATAGGATTTATTTTTTTCATTATTTTATATTTTCATACATAAATAACTTATATATTTATATATATATCAAGATTAAATTTCTTTTTAATATGTCTATGTGAAATGTAGGTAAAGAATTGTCTCATTTTTTTCTTATTATTCTAGTCTTTCCGCCTAATACATAAAAATTATTTCATTTAATTATATATATATATATATTCAATTATAGTTTTATTTAATGACAAATAAAATAAAATAAAAATCCAAAGTGATATAAAAATTCATAATTTTTGATAGATGATTAATATTCTCTCTATCCATTAATATTTAATTATTATTCTTCATTCAATATTTTTTATTATAAATATCACAATTACTTTGGTACATTCTTTCTTCATTCTCTTTAATTTCTAAATTTTTAAAAATACATCATACTATTTTTTTTTATTTTTTCTATTTTTTCAATATATATATTTTTTTAATTCACATACCGCGCCCAAATGGGCTAAATTTCTTAGAACGGAAGAAGTACAAATTTTATCAATATGGTTCCTAAAAGAATATTAATAAACTAAAATATTGATATTCAAATATGTACGGATGAGTTTGGATTCAATAATATATATAATCAAGTATAGTGTTGAATACTCTCTCAATTCCACATAATTTGTCTCTATTTTATATTTTCTTCCGTCCCACATAACTTGTTAATTATTTTTACTAATATACTTCTTAATTACTTACTAATTATGCTTTACCTAAATTTCCGTGTCTACAATAATACACTCATATTACATGGGACAGAGGAAGTATTATGGATAAATATAAAATATTTATGAAAATTATGTGGGCAACAAATTAAATTTTTTCAAAGTAGAAATTATTAATAAATAGTATGCATTAATTTACAAATAACTAACTTAATTGGTTAACTAAATTTAGATGGTAAAACACTTCAAATATAATTATTTTAAAAATATTTTAAGTAAAAATACAATTAATTTATGTATCTATTTGTAAAGTGAAATTCTTTATTTATTTTTTAAAACAATATTGATCGACTATATGAATTAATGGTTTAATATTATATACTCCATATATATCGGCCAATCGATTATTTTTAATTTGTACTTAGACGCAGGAATGGAAAAAAAAGAACCTAAGAAAAAAAATAAAAGACGATACCAAATATTAAATGTGTATATATTTTTGTAATTAAATTAATTTTTTTAGTATATTGTATTTGAAAGCTCTCATTAAATATTGTGCACATGCATATGCTGACGTCTCATCTAAAAAAACCCGAACTCGAGATTTCGTATAGGCTCTAATACCATGTCGAATGCAAAATAATCGTCTCACCTAAAAGCTCGAATTTTTAGAGAAACGCAGCCATTAATCATATCATTCACACACCATACATATCTGTGATAGACACCATCTCTATTATATCTATACACGAGAATAATATAAGATAGAAATTAGATAACAATATTGATATAAATTTGAGTTATGTATAGAAACGATAGTTCCGTCTATCACAAAACCAACGTGAACAGTTTTTTCGTTAAGCATCTAAATATGAAGTACTTACGGTCGACATCCAAATAACTTATTAGTTTCCCCTAATGAAATTCCTTGAGGTGTCGCCACTAGGCCGAAATATATTGTCGTTATTAAAATCGATAACCATCCTGGGGATTCATGGGACTTGTATGTACTTAGTTTTCTTTGACTTGGGCTTCACCGAGGGCTCTGGAATTAAATTCTTTGTTTTGGCCATTGACGGCGGCAGTGGCTCTGTGGTCGACAACGGGATTGGAACGACTGCAGCGGAGTGGCTAAGAATCGCGAAGGAAGGTTTCCGGTATGACGGGATTAGAGCTCGGGTTATTTTGGTGAACAACGGGAGGCGAACAATGACGGCAGTGTGTGGTCGACGGCGGGAGGGGAAAACGGCGGCGGCATGGCTGGAAGATTAGCAATTGGGTGATTTTGCATAGGGGTTAGAGCTGGATGAATTTTGGGGGAGTGGGGAGTTATTTCCTCTAGTAAATAGTTTCATATTGTTCATTATGGAAAAAAAATTTATTTAAGGAATATTCTAAAATTAATACATAAATTATCAATGTGCGATTATGATGTTGATTTCTAAAAATTATTCTGTTGATTGAGGTTAAATTTGATTCGTGAGTAGGTTTGAAATTTTTAAAAATGCAGAAGTCAAATTTATTCAATATAATGAATATTTCACTTGTTGAAATTATTGTATCATATTGCGAATTGGTGAATATCAAAATAAGATAGTACATATTACATCTATTTTACATTTAATATCATGCTAGTGATACTATGACAATATGTGTGAAATGTACGTACATCATTATGTTTTTTCGAATATCTTTTATTTGAAAAAAAAATTTAATTGTATACGTTAGGTTAATATTTCCAATTATAACTAGTTAACATATTTAATTTTTTCTTAATTAATTAATATTTAATTACATTTTTCCAAAATTCCTAAGTTATCCCAATCAATAACAATTATTGTATCAAGATGAATTTTGATTGGATGAACATGATGGGTTCAGAATAGTCCTAAGTCATATATAAGATCAGGAGGATATATAAAATATTATTTAATTTAGTCAAATATTCATTGCATTAGACTAGGGTGTATTTTTTTTAAAATGATTTGAATATTTTTTTTAATGTAAAGTATAAGAAATTATATAGAAAAATATAAAAATAATGAATTTATTTAATATATTAATTTTTTACTAAAAGAATTTATTCCAACTTTTTATTAATTTGTCCACTTTTTTTTTATCTCGGTTCATCCCATATAATTTGTTTTTTTTATATAAAAATTTAATTATAGTGTTTAATCATATTTGAAATTCAAAATTTATAATATTTTTATTTTAAGTAAACTATTTAGTCATTTAATTTATAATTATTTTTATTAAATTATAATTATTTTTACTAATACAATTCTTAAAAACTTACTAATACACAGTACCTAAAACTTCGTGTCTAACTAAGGTGAATAAATTAACTGCGACTATGGAGTAAGATATAATGTAATCTATCGGAATCATACCCAATTTGGATGATACCATGGATTTTTTTTAATTTATTTTTTTTTAAAAAAAAATCAGATTTTAATAATATTTTATAAAAATTAATTTATTTCTATTTAAAACCGTATCGTAGTAAATAATACTATCGATACCAAACTACAATTTGTTTGGTTATAATTTAAAATCAATTTAAAATAAAGTGTTAGATTTGAATTTTTGTTTAAATAGTATTTTGATATATGTGAAAAAAATATAATATATTTTTATTAAAAATAATACATAGTGAATAGTGTTGATTTTAATTTGAAATTACAAAAGAACAAACCTATAAATACTCTACTTAACATCAACCTTAATTTGTAGTCTATTAGGTGTTAAACAGAAAATTTATCCAAAACACTCTAAAAAGTAGCTACAACAAATTCCCGCATCATAAAAAAAAATAAAAAAATAAAAAAATGAAACACATAAAATTCAACTCAATTTTCCTTCTATTTTATTTTAAGTATTACATTATATATTTAAAACATCACATTCGCATATATTCATAGAACATCAAACATATTTTAGCCAATCCAAATTTTGAATACACTTTGGGTTTGCGTTTTCAGCTTCTTATTGCTTTCAATAAAAATAATACTCTCTCCGTCCGAAAAATTTAATTTATTTGGGTTCGACACGCGAATTAAAAAAAAAATATTTTATTGAAAAGATAAATAA